ACCCTGCGGTTTCTATCGATTGACGGGCATTCTTCTGCTTGCCTGAAGTGGGTAGCATGTTATGGTCTGGACTTAAAATCCCATTATATCATGTGTGGTTATGCTATCAATTTTTTCGCAAAGTCGTACCCTGCGGTTTCTATCGATTGACGGGCATTCTTCTGCTTGCCTGAAGTGGGTAGCATGTTATGGTCTGGACTTAAATCCCACTATAGCATGTGTGACTGCACAATCAATTTGATATTTTTTTATCTACTATATTTAACATTTACTTTCAGTCTTCCTTTCTGAACTTTTGTAGCAAAAAAAACCCAGTAATACTATTACCTCGGCAATTTGGAAAGAGCATCAAGAAGCAATACTACGAGCTACAGTTGAAAATAAGATCAATGAAAGTATTAATAAGGTATTCTGCCCTACTTGGTTCTGAATTAATTTACTGTCTATCTTTCCTCTTATACATTGTAATTATTAGCGTAAAATCGAAGATGTAGCGAGGAATGCTACAAGTGCAACTGCAAAAGCTTGTTACGCACCGAGTGGTTACGAGATCCCAAAACGTCCCCGAATAGATTACAAAAACTTAGATTATAATGTCAATGACGATAACGATAAGGAGAATCTGGAGCAATCGACCAGCGATACATCACCTATGCAATCGACCAGCAAAATATTATCTATGCAATCGACCAGCGAAACATCACCTATCGAGGATTACCTGAAAAAATTCGAAGAAGCCTACTTGGAATTAGATCTCAATAATATGTGGTTGCTGGAAAGTGGTCGTAAAGTAGAAGAAGTTATTTATCAATTCGCCATAAATCTTCCCGAAGAGTCATATTTACACTCATTCATAATCAATGACATTGATGTGGCTACCAAATCACTATTTTCGAATAAAAAATGGAAGGAAATCACCACCTCCGTGGCTAAGGATAAACCAAAACTTGAAAATTCTCTTGTAAACCTACTGAAAAAATACACAGTCGATGATGTTGAGAAACTTCGTGATGTTCTTTTCGAATCATTTATACCAAATGGATGCAAATATGATCGAAAACATCATTTTGATCTTGATTTTATTAATGGTGCTTATTGAAGTATTTTACGTTTGTGAGAAATGGAAGAAAACCCTATTATTGACTCTTTATTAGAAGGCTGGTATAAAATAAATATGTGGAGTCGAGTAATTGACCCAGCTTTTGACAATCACAATATTGATTTAGTGCATGGTGAGGGTATGAGTCATGCATCAAGTAATAGAAAAAATCTTACCAGAGCAACAAATGATCTAAAGGAGCTCAGTCGAAAGGGCGATGGAGTATTCCGATTACGTAAGGATCATTTAGAATTTGGTGTTATAGAAGCGGGTCGAAAATAGGAAGGGAAAAATGGAAATAAACATATGACAGATTCGTTAAAAATATGTAAAATGTTAAAAGATATGTTAAACCAGCTTGCCATTGAGTGTGATATGAAAGAAGATTTCGTGAGGAAATTACAAGTAGTCGGAATACTTAATGGAGCAAACAGAATTCAGGTCATGACAGTTGATCTTCCTAAGGGTTATATTACTCGTATTCAACGCAGAAAGGTCTATGAAATTGCTGGTCGTCTATCAAAATCCAAACCGCTTGCTTTTGCTCTAAAAGAAATACTATGTGCGAAATCTATCATCATGCAGACATTCGATATAATAAACAAGAAAGATGATGTGGATCCCGAAAATTTTCTTGATGATTCTGATGATCAAGATGGATATCACACACCTCCTAGGACCGTTATATCAAAGACATTTGTGACTCCAAAGAAAGAGGATATTCATCAGGTATTTATCGGGTATTTATTGTGTATTTATCAAATATTTTTTAAAATTTTGTTAATTTCAATCGCTTATATACTATATGATTTAAAATTCTCATCGAAATTGTTTAGACTTACTCCTAATATTGTGGAACTGAGTAGTGAAGAGTAGCAGATTCACAAGACTCAATAACTATTTGTACATTAGCACTAAATAGATAACAAAAAAATTAATTGTTTAATATAAATTCTGATACATGATTTTATATTTTTGTTTAATTTTTTCAATTGTATATGTTTGTATGACCAGAGCCGTTTAGGTTAGAGCTTAGGATAGCGAACCCTTCCCGTAATTATGTTTTTTCATATATAGTCCTTAATAAAGTCTCAGATCGAGCAATAATAATGTACTAGAGCGATGAGTAGTTAAACGGTCACAACCCCTATTATAAACTTAGGTGTGCGTGTGCTATCGTCTAATAAATACAAACAAAATAATATTTAAATAATTCGATATTGAATAAATTGTGGCTTATTATTATGGAAAATTAATTACGATCGTAACATCCGCAAGTGGCTGTAATACACAAATCAGTTACATCGTCAATCATACTTATTTCAGATATCTAGTATCTTCCGTATGTTTGGAAAACAAATCATTTATTCATTATTCTAACTAATTTATGTAATTAATTTTTCAAAATTCCTCATTGAGTAAGTTTTGAAACTATTTTATCTCGTTAGAGGAGAAAAAGAGCAAAATATTTCTATCTTATTGTTCTTAATTCAGATTAACATTAACAAAATGAATGCCTTTTTAAAATATTTAATAACCTTCGAAATTATTATAGATTTTTATCGTTTTCTTGTAAACCGTCAATGGTATGAAAATGTATTATGGAGTAGACTTTTGAAGATAGAAGGATTATAAGAATAAACCTTTTATCATTAAATGAAGAAGAAAAAGGCGTCATTATTTCCATATATTTGATTGCAATGTTTTACGAACAAGTGAAAAAAATCAAGAATTATTGTAACAAATATTATCTTAAAAAAATTGAAAGTGTGAAATTAGTTTTAAATAAGCAAGTAGATATTCCTTCTAAAAATATTTCATTAAACTTAAATATAATACTGTAGTAAATATTAGCAAAGGCTCTTTATGAGAATACAACTTTGTCCTCCCGAACTTACTTCCAATAAACTTAGTGAAGAAATTAACGAAATTTTTAGCCTTAGTAAAAATAAAATTGGGTAAAAGCGTTATCAGAAGTTCAGTATAATACTCGTATTTGACTCGGTTTTAATAGACTTAATTTTAAAGGGATCAAAGTGTTATCCGATGCAGTTTGCAAAATATCACTTTAACTACTTTAAATTTTCTGAAAGCAACTTAATTTTAGAGAAAGACAAAGTATTAGCAGGGAGTCTTTGTAAATCTTTGAATATTAGCATTATCAGAAGTTTTCTTTATAAAAACTTGAGTTTGGCTTCCGTCATAACCATCTTACTTTTCTTAAAAGAATGTAAATTTTATTGGTTCAATGTCTTCTCCAAAATATATATATATATATATATATATAATCAATAGCACTTTTCAGTGAAAAATTTCAGTAAACTCTACAGATTTTATTTGATAGTTTATAATCGGATATATAAAAAAATCCTATGGATTGGAGGGATATCTACAGATTCAAACACTAGAATTCTAAATACTAGAACACATCAGTTTATTTGAAAGAACGAATAATTTGTATCTGGTCAATTTACAGTAAAATTTTATTTGTGTCAAATTCGAAAAGTGAAATTACATAAGTTAGGTGCTAAGGAAAGGACCAAATTGGCAACTTTTTTTAGCTGAAGCTGAATGTATCTAGCTATTCATTATTTAAACTAAGAACGAACCAGATGAAATCTGACATTATCAGAGTTGGCATTTGGAGATTTTTAAAACTAAACCTTATTATAACATTTAATTTAATAAAATATATTTAAGAAATAAACTTTTAATATTTATCGTAAGAAAAAAAAAAAAAATGCTCCGTTTGCCAACATTAGACATGATAAAATTTTTTACTTTCATTAATTTGCAAAAAAATGTTATTGTTTATTTATTTAAATAACCTATTTATTGAATAGTCTACTTATACTGAAGTTGTATTTTTTGAATTTGTAATATTTTACATTCTGAAAGATGCGATGTTTATATTCATATATATATATATTTTTCATATAAAATACGACAATAATATTTATTTGGGAATTTGTATAAATTTTAAGGGAATATTCTTATAGTGCTATAGTACCATGGCACTACTCTATATGTAATCATAAGATCAGGTGTAACCTAAAATCAAAACAATCTATTTTATTTATTACTTTAGAGTTAGAGTCATAGTTAGATTAGGGTTAGAGTTAGAGTGATAGCGTAGAAAGGTTTTATACCAAAATTTAGCAAGGAATTTTTTTAATTAGAATACCAAAAGCAGTTTTATATACAAAATTTTAAGTTATTTTCTGTTTCTTAAAAATTGCATCAATTTTACGTTACACCTGATCTTTTATTTTAATTGGCTATATTGTGATGCTATAGCGCTACAAATTAAATCCCAAATTTTAAAACAAAGAGAAAACAAGAGTTAATTTAACTCTTAACAAAGTATGGCTTATCAACTCTGAAGAACAATAATAATTAGATTTTCTGTGTTAAAGTTAATTATATATAATAGCATCAAACTTTTTGCAACATATTATATCGAGGAAATAATTAGTCATAAAGGAATGATCATTTTAAAGTATATTTTAAACAAACTAGAGTATAATAGTTGGTGACTCAATCCAATAAACAAAGTTCTACTAATGAGAAAAAGCAACAATTTATCCACTTAGTAAACTTATTTGGCCTTATTAAACTTATTTGTTTTTTTTTTTACTCTATAAAATATAAAATAATGGTTGAGAAAAAAATTAAAAGCATTAACAGAACAACCAGAGGAATCAACAAGAGCTGCTTATGAATTAAACTATTCAATTCTGTTTTATCTATAAAATAAATAATCGAACCCATTTTGATAATTTTATACCAATTAGAACTTAATCATTCTCTACAAATTTAATTAGAAACCCAAAGAACATTTATTCTTTTCCATAGCTTTATTTAGAAAACTAAAGGCGAGAATTTAATTAGTAAAAAATAACCTTATTTGAAGTGGCATTTCGCCTTATAGTACAGTAGTAAATTTTATAATGACAGCTATAATAAATACTATGGTGGTTAATGTAAAAGTTATATTTAGGTTGAAAGGTGAAATAAAGATTTGAATTCCTCTTGATAGCATAAATGGTTAAAGTCAGGTCAATGGTATTTAATTAAAAATCTATTAATCTGTGCGAAAAAAAAAAAATAAATATTATTCAGTTCGAAAGTTGAAGGTAATTTAAATTCCCTTACCTGTTACGTATAAAATGTTACATTATGTCGAACGTCGAAACAAAGTAAATTCTAAAGTTGGCCGCCAAATTTTGTAATTTGTTCCTTTAAATTTTAGAAATATTAAAGAAGGAATAAATATCTATTTAATATTTCCGTGTGCTTCTTGCAATAAATATTTATAAATTTCTGTTGTTGGTTAAGACAAATTATTATTGTGCTTTGAATTTTACAATCAAATTCCAAAAGGTAATTTGTGAAAATTGTTATGAAATGTCGCACCATGTACATTGTAAAGGGCTAAGTTGACCCTCCGGAAATACTGCGCTCCGACGTAGTACGATGTCCTATTTTTAGTTTGAAGATTCTCAGGGTTTTACAAGATATTTCCTGTTTCTTGATTAAAGATTATCCGGATTCTAAAAATCTTAGGGATCCCGACCGTAATTTCTAGGATTTGCCGAATCCACCGAAAATTAGAAATCCTGGCCAGGATTTCTCTGATTCCCCAGATTTCCCGGATTCTTCTCTTTCTTATGTTTTTCTTTATTTCTGTTATCCTGTATTAATTAAAAATATGTATATAAGAGACTCGAATTTCCTTCAATAAAAGATAACTTATAAGTTCAACTTTGACAGAGTTCAATTAAGACTCCAATAAGTTCGTTGTTTATAAGTCTAATACTTCGAAATTCGAGTAGAAGTATTGTGACCTTGTTTCCTCATTTGTTAAAAATATATATTCATTGTTAAAAACCCGCCCCGTGATAATCAAGTTCCCAATCAATTTAAACAATAACAATCGTCCCTTAGTTAGTCTTATAGATTCCCATTGTTAAAACAATAACCAATCAAAAAGAGGACCAGATCACGTGCCACGTAATCCTTTTCAAAAGTATAAGAACCTAAAAGACCAAAACCGAAATTCCTGGAATAAAGCCCAAGAACCAAACGACACTCCACCTAAAGAAATCCACCCTGCAATCCTAAAACCCGGACCAAATCCTCTACGACCTCTTTCAGCCTACCAGCTTAGGGTTGATTGTTGGATTTGTAGTGATTGTTTGTTGACTTGTTGAACTACGAACCCAGGTGTAACCCAAACCCTCCGGACGAGTTCCGTACCAGAACCGGTTAACACCTTTTCACCGGTCACGCAAAAATTTGAATTTTTAAGTGATTATGAATAATGTAAGGCAGGGGATTATTTATTTATTTCCTCAGGAATTTAAAATTACAACAGAGGATTTACGATGATCATCAGGAATCTCTGCTGTAATTAAGCTCTCAGGAAATAAATAATGCAAATAAAACTTCTCACCATCGATTTTATAAATTAAATAATTAGTCTATGAGTTTATTTTGTAAATTGAATTATAATCTATAATTTATTACATGAATTAAATAATTTGGTTGTGAGTACTGAATTAGAATTTTCTTTAATATAGGTGGGCAAACTCCGCCAAACTCCGCTGATTATATTAAAAACTTAATGATTACTAATCACTAGCGTAGTTTATTTTTATATTGTCCACCTATACTAAAGAAGATCCCTGAATTATTTTGTAAATCGAAATTTTATAATTAATAATTAAATAAAATTTTTCTAATCCATTATATGAAATTTTATAACCTATAATTAAATAAAACTTCTCAAATCTATTACATGACTTATATCGTTAGCTGGTGAATACAGAATTCTTTTGTACTTTTATAACCAATGATTAAATAAAATTCTCTAATCGATTACATGACTTAATATAATTAGCTGGTGAGTACAGATTATTTTGTTAATTTATAATTACATTTTAATTATAAAAACCTATAATATAATAATTTAATAGTTAATTTTCACAAGGTGATATTACCTCTATTATAAATTATTTAAAAAATAAGGGTATAATTAATTTATAAATTAGAAATTTATATATTGTGAGCCCGGACCAAAATCACGGGGTAAATGTAACGTGACATTTAGTCCCGGGTCAAGTGCAATAAATTACATTTGTCCCACAAAAGGAAGATCAGGCATAATATCATAATAATGGAATTTGCGGTATTAATGTTATAGATAAGTTTTATTACGTATAGTAGGGATATGTGGTTTTATTGTATATCGGGAACTTGAGGCATTTAAGTCATTTTTATGTAAAGCAATAATTCATTATAAATAAAGGCCGTAAAGGCCCTAGAGGAAAAACACCTCCTACTTTCGCTTGATAAAACATAATAATATTACCTTAACAATTACCCAATAAATCCAATAAATAAACTTCGCTAAATTACCCTAACACAAATCTTTGAATAAATCGCTAAGTGATAAACCTCCTTTTTGTTAAACCCTTACTCACGTGACCCTCGTTAAATTAGGTACTTTGTCCAGTTGTTAACCTGACGTACTAGGTACAACTGTGGTTAATAAGTCCAGCTTACCCGAAGTAGTGTGGTATAGCTGAGGTTAAGAAAAGACCAGAAAGAACCCGGATATAAGAAATACTTACCTACGGACACCAAACCACCGACCAAATCTAAACGCCTCTATTCGATAAGCCTACCGTAGGTTACGCAAGGAATTGGATTGTTGAGCGACTGACTCGCCGTAGTCCCGGTTCTCAATATATACACACTTTTACTAAAATGTACCAATGGTGTTTTACACATATTTACTCAATATCATAAAAACTTGTAAATTAATCGGTAAGAGGTGTCTCAAGTAAAAATGTTCTTAACCCTTTCCTAACTCTAAAGGTTAAAAATTTGAATACAAACTTATAAAAACCAATAAAAATCTAAAAAAAAAAATTTTAAAAAAAAGAATATAATAAAAAAATATAATAGAATGCAAGACCACTATAGATGCGTTTTATAATTACTCTAATTAGTATAAATTAATTTAGTGAGTATTAAACTTTATAATTAAACCTTTTTAATTAATTGAATTCAACAATTAGCTTATGAATTTTAAACTGAAATTTCGTAATAATCAATAAATTAAAATTATATATACAGTATATAAACTAGAATTTCAACGTGGTAAATTCGTCACCAAGACTTGAAACACAAGCTCTAATTTTAATTAAATAACCTGAATAATTTTTTCTGATTTTTTAAACAATTCCTGGACAATACAATAAACACATTCCCTAATAAATTATTTTCTTGGGGTTTGTACTTTTTTTATATTATTACAAGTGACTCTTGGTATAAAAAAGTCGCTGGGTCCAGACGAAATCTTTTTATATTGAAATTTTCTGATATAGAAGGTTTTTTTTAGTTCAAGAGTCACTTGGATAATGATTTTATTAGAAACTCTAAAGTATGCTTATTTTATAATGCTAGGCTAGAGATATGGCAGCTTGAGTTAGGCTAGTTTATAATAAGAATTTCAAGTTTCTATGATATTAATAATTTTTTACATTTATCCAGATATTTGAAAAGTATTAAAAAGAATAAGTGAACTTTTTAGCTTATTGCAGGGTTATAATTGTAAATTTACCAGGGTAAATTATTAGATAAATTATCTAAGGCATGGTTAATTTACCATTACCGGTGTTACTATCAGTGGGAGAGCAAGTGATGAATAAGGCTGAGTTTAGTCAGAATGTTAACTATAAGAAATAGGTTGGAATAAGAAGAAAGCGTTTATAGATAAGATGAATTGGATAGGTAGGGACTTAGCTAGCATATATGGACAAAGATAGGTATTAATATAATAAGTAGGGTTAAAGATATGTGCAGAGATAAAGAAGTAGAGGTTATGTATATATATAGATAATAGAGTAGATAGCATGAGCGCTAAAGCATGTATCAAGAGAGACTAATAAAAGTGACGATACAGAGACTAATCACGATCTCGATAAGATATAGATAAAAATAGCATTATAAATTCTTTATTATAAATGAAATATTACTAAGAAAAACCTTAAAGGAACACGAGACATTAGAATAGATTTCCTTTTTAATAACTATGATACTGGCATTCCTCATTTCATTCCATATTCCTTTACAACAATTAACGCGTTTGTCTAAAGATAAAATCACAAAAGATCTTGTAACAAATAGAGACAATTCTAAGCTAATAATATCTAAATAGGGAAGACTAGCTATATTTGGGAATAAGGTAAATATATGAAAAATAGTAATTATATTAATGTTAATTGTTAGGCGTAGCAAGTTACGATAGTAACATCGGTGTATAAAATTTTAAATTCAGGCAGTAAATGTAATTTCCACGGTAATTTATCAACCTTACTTAAACATTCTAATTAAAAACTCCTTGCTAAATTTTTGGTATAGTTTATTTATTTATTTATTTTTTTATAGAACTTACACTAACATAATCTGAATTGATGTTCATTTTTTTTTTTAAAAAAAAAAAAAATTAAATTACGAAATCATATCGATATTGATTTATTAATTCAGATCATTATTTTTAAACTAGGTACTGCAAGTGGGTCTAGTACCCATGCATTATGTACGTGCTTGCAAACCCCTATTTCAAACCTAAACCATTTATTAATAATCGTTACGTATTACCTACGTACGTACGTATTCAATGAAATTACTCAAAGGGCAATTTTAATAATACTGCAAAATTTAGCTTTATACGTAACAGTATATTGTGTAACTTATAAAATCACGATTTTTTAATCATTAGAAGCTTTGGTCAGCTTTTTTAGTTTCGTGATGAACATATATAGAAACAGTACTACCGCTACATGATTAAATGGCGTATTTTTGTGTTCGCTGCACAAAGATTAAATGTGCACAGAAAATTTTTATTTTTAGATGAATAACAAATTTTGATTATCATTATCTCAGTTCAGTAATTGGTAACTTTCAAAAGTATTGTACGTAATACACTTCGGATTGATAGAATTTATAAATAATAAACCAAACTATACTAAATAAAGTTAGAGATTATTATTAAAAAAGGTTAGAGAAAATATTACTGTACACTTTTGAAGTCTCTGACCGTTATTTAATCCTATAATCGAATGTGGCTTTTATCGAATAATTTCTATTTTAGTTGTCCAAATATTTTTGTTTTTAATTTATATAAATATAGAAATTATGATAATACATATAACCTGTTTAAACAATTAAGAAATCACATCATGAAAAGTTACCTGATTCATTTTATTAATTAACAAATATAATCCTTAAATTATTCTTGGCTCCTATGAAATTATTATTCTATAAAATCTTTAATTTTTATTTCTCAAGTAAATTTGAATTTTATTATTTATTTCAATTTAATTTATTTTCGTAAAAATATCAGTAGAGTCTAGTTTGTACGTACAATTATTGAATGCGATAATTTAATCGTCCACCAGATTAAAAATTATTGGATACGGCTTTAACATCTTATCAATTGTTAAAGAATTTTACAGTAAATTATTTTCGTAATGAAGTGCTAAGTGTTAAACTTTTAACTTTCAAATTTATATCAAATTTATATTCTTTGTGCTAAGTTTATTTTTAGAAAAAAAAAAAAATTTTTTGAATTATAGTCATTGACGTTCAGTCATTTGTGGAATAGAAATAATTCCTTAAACTGGAAATCCTATCGGTTATTTTGTAATCATAATAGTAAGTACTACTAAGAATTGATCTATATTTGTAATAATTATTTACTGATATATAAAGCCATTCGTTTTTATGACAGAGCTATAGCTTAATTTAAGCTCGAGTATAATCTTGTAGAATTTAAATATTAAATTTAAAAAAATGAAGACTTTATTATATAATTTAGTATTCATTGTCCTTCTGTTGGCCGTTTTACCAACAGGATTTGCACAAACCACACAAACCATACATTATTCAAACTTTACCTATGATGAAATATCTTACCAAGACAATCTTACAGGAAACCCACCTCACGTCTTGGCTATTAGACATTATCAAAACAATGCTGATGTGGCAGTTATTCGTGTCGGTCGAGTAAATTATTACTCTGGAAATAATACATGTTTTGAACAGAGATTATTGCTTCGCGTTCTTCAAGGCAACGGAAGTGTTATTGAAATAAATTATACTAATACTAGTGAAATACAGGATATCAATTTTTGCTATAGATTCAGGAATCCTCTGAATTTTTATCCGTTATTTGACCAATACATCTTAGTAACGTACACTCATGCAACTAATACTTCCGATAAGACAACATTTATGGATCGAGGAATGGTTTTAAATTGGAATGGAACTGTTGCAAGGTTTGCTAAAAGTATTTGCATCTAAATGTTAAATTAGTTATAATTAATTGTATATTATTATACGGTAGTTTTATCGATTTGGGACCATCTTATTTGGAACCGATCACTAATTATAGTTGGTACCCAAATGAATATTTTGTAAATAATATTAATCCTCAAATGGGATTTTTTCGCTTATCCGCGGTTAATGGGACAAGAAGTTTCAAATGGCAACAATATGCATAGTATGTTACATTTTTAGTTGTTAATTACATAAACTTAGGTTTATTTGTTTATTTTTATTTTTTATTTTTTTTAGTCGAGGCAGTGGAAACTACTATTTACTATCAAATGATACAGTCCCCACTGATTTCTCTACCAGTTTTCAAGTTACTGTAATTCAAACCTTGTATGGTGGATATGCAATTATCTATGCTAACACGACCAATATTGCTATACCTTCCAATAACGCGAATAGCACGTCAACCGCTCACCTTACCCCGTCCGGAGGAATATATGCACTAATATTTAATTATAATCAAACAAAAACACCTAGTAAAATTATTTTATATGAATCACAAATGCAGAATATAACATTCAATACATTATTTTGTTCTGTTGACTTTGCTTCCATTGGACATTCTTGTATTGTGTCCGCAGTGGGTCCGAAAGCTATTCAAACTCCAACTAACATTACTACTACATTCACAACCACTACGACTCCCCCAGTTGGCATTCCCACAGCTGTACCAGTTACCACTGTTGTACCAGGTCAACCTATTACTACTTACACCACTGAATTATTTTATGTGAATATACGTTTTCTTTCTTCAGGATCCTTATTATCATTAGATTCTATAATTCCACCACCAAGCAGTGTAACAAATGTAAATATTAGAACATTGCCTTTTGGAGGATACGCAACATTATGGAGAACTGCTACTGTACTTGCTGCAAATTACAACTTTAGTCTTTTTGATGAAAATAATCAACTATCCGATTATAACTTTCCAATAAATCCAATTATCGCGAATTTAGTTGGCGCATTTGACATTTTGCAAAATAATACAATGTTAGTGGCGCAAAATGAATCATTAAACTCTTGGAATATTCTTTCAATACTTATGCCTAAACTTTCTCCTTATAATGGTAAAGCATTTTGAATTTAAATATTAAAAATGATAAATGATAAAAGTAATAACGTTTATTTTTATATCTTACAGATAATGGCTATGGTAATCTTCATGTGGGCGCGACATATCCTCCAAATAGTCCACCAAATGAATTATTAAATAAAATATCATTAAATAATAAGGTTATTAACATCACATTTGAAAATCCTGTTACATTTGGAACTGGTTCTCTAAAAATTTTTAGTATGGATGGTACTCTTCGGCAGACACTTAATATAAGAAATTGTGATAGTAGCAAATGTAATGCTACTGGCAATATAGTCTCACTTAATGTTTTTGATTGTACTTTTAATGAACCGAATGGCCAATATTATATACAAATGGATAATAGTTTTGTACTGGATGCAGAATACAACGAACCCTTGTTGGGAATCGATCCGAATAAGTGGATATTTCAAACAGGTTTTACATTTTTTATTGTAATAATTTAATTATTTTTAAAAAAAATGATATATTTAATTAATATATATAATCTCATTAATTAAATAGTTACTAACCAACTACAAGAAAAGTATGATGGTAATATAATTTGAATATATCTATAAAGTTAATATTCATGTTATTAACTCTAAACTTATAATGGAATTCTTTTAATTAAATTAGGTGGTATTCAAGGTGCACTACGATTAACAGACGAAGGAACTATACATTATCAAAACTTGAGTTCCTCAAATCAATCTGACTTTATCAATACATTACAAAATGAACTCACACTCATGATTCCTACAGAAAAAGGCAGATTATACTCGATTAATAATAATACTCAAAATGATCCAAATCAAAAATCGAGAATTTTTATTTCGCTTTCTATTAAAGGGGCAAAATCTGGTCAAAAATTGTTTTCGACTGATGTATCGAAATATTTAAACTTATTAATAATTAATAAAGAAACGACGGGTATATCAACAGGAACTACCACAAAATATTTAGATGCTTCTTATGGATATCAAAAAATTCGTAAGAATTCATTTCTATTTTTTATAATTTATTATAATTCAAATGATTTATTATATTGTAAATGTATTTTAATAGAATCAGTAGCGGAGTTCTTTGCTGAAAATCGGTCAAAATTCATTATATTTATTGTAGCCATAGTTCTATTTTTATTAATGTTCTTAGTGGCCAAGATGAGAACAAGACCGGTAATGAATTTTAATAAAAATATTTCGTTTTTTAATTTTTAATTTTTTTCTTTATATTTAATAAGTTATATAAAATTATTTTTAGGAGGATAAAGATGTAGTAGAAAACATAGCCATTCTCCAACTTGGTGTTACCCTATCTCGTTTTGCCACCTATATATTATTTGTTATTTTTGACTCTTCAACTCTTTCATTTCTTTTTTTACCAAGGTAAGACTGCATATCTTTGTTAAATAAACCTTATCGATAGATATTTATATATTAAATAATATTTTCTATCATTAAAAAATTCAGCATAGCATTTTTGGTAATTCCAGTAGCATTCAACTTAATTCTGGCATTTGCAATATTAATATCGGAGCGGAGGCCAGAGTTTGTCCAATGGTTTGCACTACATGCAAGAGTTGCTGCTACCATCGCATTATTATCTGGAGCAAATATTGATATGTTATTGATATTAAAGTCATATGTGATGAAACTTGACCTTTTCAGGGCGCCATTGTCCAATAGGTCATTGACGTTAATTTATATTGGAAGTTGCATTAACATAGTTTTATTAGATATACCACAATTTATTATACAGGTACTGTATGTTAAAAGTAGAAATAAAAATCTAATTGATTTAAATAATTATACTAACAATATATCATTATATTAGGTAATATTTCTTCGCTATAGTGTCATATGGGATCCTATTTCAATATTCTCCTCTTTATTGTCAGCTATTTCTTTGCTTGCTAACATAGCAGGCAAGATACTCTTCTGGATATTTGGCGCACTTTCGCCCTATATTGACCATTGGCAAAAGAAAGACCAAGTAAATAATGTAAATGATAATACATCTAATCATGTTGTAAATGATGATAAAGTAGAATAGTTTTTATTGTATTAACTAAGAATATTATTTAGTTATTTGTATAATTACATGTATAAATATTAGTCCTATTTTCAGTTTTGTAAAATTATATAATATAAGTATAATTAACATTGACAAAAAATTTTTTACATCAATAAATTTAATTAGTTTTCTTGGTAACTCAGTATCAATTATTATTTAAATTTTAAAATTATAACTTCCATTTATGCGTTTCAGTTTTTTTTTTATATTGAAGGATAATTAAAGCGATAGCATATTAAATTCTTTACAGAAGAAAAAAGCTATTGAATTCATCATGTATTACTATTACACAGCAAATAAAAAAATATATAAGTACCTTTTACACGCATTCTTGGCGTTCTTGATTTATAAAAAAAAAACTAAACGAAAGTCTAAAATACCTAAAACTTCACTACAATTTACTCTAGAAAGAGAAGAGTCATCAAGTTCTTTAGTATTGCGTTCGAAAAAATTTAAGGTTTACATATAAACTTGTTTTAAATGTGATGACTATACTTGTTTATATTACTGATAATTGTTTCATCAAGGTTGCATCAATATTCAGGGTTTCGTCAAGGATTTCGTCAATTGTCAAGGGTTTTGTCAATTGTTAAGGGTTTTATCAATGGCCAAGAGTTTCGTCGGACGAAACCATGATAAAACCTTTCACTGGAGCAAAATAGTTTCATCAAGTATCACCAATAAATAAAAATGTTTATATTTGTGTTTAACATTAAATTATATTATCAAAAAAATCATCATTTATAAAAAAAAAATATATAAGCATTCCTCTAAATACTATCTTCTTGAATTTTCGAATTTTATTACTAAGATCAAATGAACCCAGTGATTATCACATCACATGAAATTATGCATCATGTCATTTGTTTACAAATCGGTACCATCATCTAACCCTAAAACCAACCCTAAGTTAGGCCGAGTGTTTAATCATGTAATGTAATTACCACGAATATATCACTGGGTCCACAGATCTTGAAACCTCCCGAAATTTTAACTTGACTAAGACGATAAATTTAAAAAATCAATTAAGTCGATGTGATATTTCGGCTAAGTACAACATATTAAGAGCGATAAACGATCAGATTGTAAAATGCAAATTTTTTCTATTTGTATTACATTGAGTTTCTATTACCTTATTCAAGAATATTATAAATAGCACAACAGTTTATTTAATTAAGTGATTTATTCAAATAGGTAGAGCAAATAGTTGGATATCCATAATTAATAAAGGTTTTATTCCGACTTTTTTAATCTATTGCAAATTAAGTTTTACATTAAATTCTATCTAATAACTAGGGTTCTGCAAATGCCCATGCCAAGCACATTAGGCACGATGCCAGGCACTAGTGCCTATGGCATGCCTGTACCTATAGGCACAAAAGTATGAACATAGGCATTTTTTGCACACTTTTGCGTTAAGCACTAGATGACCGTGTCTAAAAAGTATTGAGCACTTTTGTGCCAGGAATTTGATGCCCATACCAAAAAGTGAGGTTTTTTTGAATTTTTATAGCTACGACCTACTTAAATATTCCGACTTAAGTCACTTACTGGTGGACTGTAAGTCATCTGAGTGGAAATATTATGGCTCAATCGGCAAAAACATGTGTACATAAGTGTATGGCCTATGGGCAAAATAGTGCCAGGTACTTTTAAGGCTAGGCACTAAATATCTATGCCCATCTTTTGTGCCAGCTGCCTAAAATTTTGCTGGACATGGGCATATGCCGGGCTGCAGAACTCTACTAATAACATGTATAATTTCGTTTATAAATTGCCTTTAAAGTTTAATTTTTAGGTTAACGTCATCCCCCCTGTCCTTTAACTGTCCCCCGAAAATTAAATAAGCCCAATCATAGAACAGAAATTATGTAGAAACAAGGCACTTGGGAAATCCCGAAGTAGATGAGCGTTGTAAAGGTCAAATCTGGTAACCCCGGAAGTACTCATAATCCGAGGTTACCCTGACCGAAATTCTTGAAGATCTTGGGGCTTCGCAAAATTACTTCGCCTTTCCATTTCTAAAATCGCCCGGATCCCAAAAATCCTAATTATCCTGACCGAGATTTCTAGGATTTGCCGAATCCACCGAATATTAGAAATCCTAGCCAGGATTTCTCAGATTCCCCAGATTTCCCGGATTTTTCTCTTTCTAATGTTTTTCTTTATTTCTGTTATCCTGTATTAATTAAAAATATGTATATAAAGGACTCGAATTTACTTTAATAAAAAAATAACTTTGGCAGAGTTCAATTAAGACTCCAATAAGTTCGTTGTTTATAAGTCTAATACTTCGAAATTCGAGTAGAAGTATTGTGACCTTATTTCCTCATTGTTAAAAATATATCTTCATTGTTAAAACCCCGCCCCGTGATAACCAAATTCCCAAACAATAATCAATCGCCCCTAAATAGTTCTATTGATAAACTCATCGATTTAAAGATTCTCATTGTTTAAATCAATAACCAATCGTACTAGAGACCAGATCACGTGCCCAGTAACAAGAAGTAAAAGTATAAAGAACCCGAAAGACTAAAACCGAAATTCCTGGAATAAAAGCCCAAGAACCAAACGACACTTACATAAAGAAATCCACTCTGCAATCCTAAAACCCGGACCAAATCCTCCACTACCTCTTTCAGCCTACCAACTTAGGGTTGATTGTTGGATTTGTAGTGATTGTTTGTTGACTTGTTGAACTACGAACCTAGGTGTAACCTAAACCCTCCGGACGAGTTCCGTACCAGAACCGGTTCACACCTCTTCATCGTCCAACATCTAACAAAGAATTAATAATTTTAAGGGTCGTCAATAAAATTTGATTAAATTTTACAGTTTTTAGTGATTAGAAAAAATGTCCAAAAAACTAAATTAGCCGTAATGTTAATAAAATCATAGAGAATAAATGTCCTTTGGATTTCTAAATAAAGTTGTAGTGAAGTATAGTATTGTTACGGGCGGATGAATCAGTTTTATGATTAATGCTTATCGCCAAAGGCGTGATGTTAGCGATTTGGTATTAAAGTTTATTAGTTTACTCGAGTCTATGTTTTTATAACTTTACAAAGAGAATTTAATTTTAAATTCTTACTATTTTTTTTTTTTCTTTTTTTTTTTTTTCGTGACATCGCAGTTAATAATTGCCAACTTTTTTATAAAAGCAAAAAAAACTTTACAGTAAACACAAACTCTTTTCCATAAACAAAGCTCAAAATTACTCGCGGAAAATTGATTAAGAGGATAATTCATAAGATTACCTATTTTAATGTTAAATACATATATAATTAATCCATAATATTTAAAACGATTAAGTGATACGTAAGACAGTTTAGCACTTTCTTTCTTTTCACTTTCGTAGTTTCCCATTCTGGAGTAGTCATTTGCATTATTCTTCTAGCAATACTGTATTTTAAAATACTCGATCCAGTTCTTGAAGTTTCGATGAAATCACATTTTAATCATCTTGCCATATTACACCTTCTTCTTTTGAAATTTCTCTTTCCATAACTTTATTGTTTTTTTTTTGTTGTCAACAAGAATAATAAAGATACTTTCAGTATCTTGAACCCTTAAAACTTAGTTATAAAATCTATATACTCTTTTAAATGTGAATTTGATGAAATTGAATATAAAAGAACAACTCCTCTATAATAGCAATATTAATTAGAAACATAAGCTTTATTTCTTAAAAAGAAATCGATATCATAGTGTATTACGATATAATGAGATGAAAAAATCAAATTTGTAATTCGAATATTGAAATAAATAAACATTTCTGAATGCTTTTACTTCACAAAATACCTAACATAAATCGTTGTTAAAGTAATTTATAGTAAAAGATTATGTATTCGGAACTTAAAATGAAATGATAATCACGTTGTACAAATTAATTGGCTAAATTAGCACCGCGGTGATCATCACCGGTGTTTAGCCAATAATGATAAAACAAAAAAAAAGATTTCTTTCATTTACTTTAGGTTAGGGCGAGGCCTGGGATTTTATCTAGAAAGTAGATACATGCAAAATTTAGCAAGTAATTTTTTTTGTTAGAACGTCGAAGGTGGTTTTATAGGCGAATTCTTGAGATATTGGCATTTTTTTTAAAAAAAAAAAAATCTTTATTTTTGTTACAAATTTATTGGCTAATAACACACAACTTAACAAAATTCTTTATTTTAATATGCTAAAACTCTAAAGGTTTCTTTTAATATTCTAATGATTATATAATTAAATGAGGCACAATATTTTCTGACTACTTACATTTTTATTACATTTCGAGTTACAAATATTATACATGTAACTTAGCCAATGTCATTTTATAATTCTGTTTTTATTTTAGTTGTTATATTTTCACTTTTCCTTAAATTTAATTGTTTCATTTTGACTGCGAGATAAAAATATTCGAATCAATATTAGATATTACTATTATTATTATGTTTCTAAATCATTCAAAGCAACTGACAACACTGGATAGTACTCTAAAATCTGAAACTACAGCTTGTATTAATGGAAAAAATAATAATATAATTTTTTATTTTTGGTGTTTCTTTATTTATCAATCATTCGTTAATCACTATATCTACTGAAAGTGCACCGTAAATAGAAAAGAATATTTTATTTGCCAAATTTAATAAATGAACTGGTTGTTATTTTTAGCGTTTATATAAATTTAACTGACTAAGCAAATGATTTTGGTTATTTAATACGTTAATAGTATCATGAAGTCACAAAATATACCACCACCTCGGTATGGATATTGTTAAATAACTTTGTCTAATAAATATTTTAAATATTGGTTAAGACATTATGTGTTTTTAAGTATTGACTAGAGTGTCATTTACCATTTTTTTTTTTTTTGACATTTCTTATTGTAAAGTCATATATATAACGTCTAACACATCTTCCCATTATAAGATGGGTTAGACGTTAGGGTGTTACCTCAACTAATATTAGTTAGGGTAATATATGAAGATCATTAATTTCGGATTTATTAATGGCTGTATTTGAATTAGATAAATTTGTGATAAATCACAAATTAATGTGAAAACTAGAATTTTTTAAACTGGTTCTGACTTTTAAATAAAATAACCGATTTACATAATTAAAAATTTTAATTCTACAAAAAAGTAAATTATCGAACTAAATTTACATTTTTTAGATCTAATTTTTTACAAAAATATATCGAATTTTTTTTTAATTTAATGTTCTAAACAAGCTAAACATGGTAATAGAGCTATTTTTTGATAGTTTATTAAAATAATTAAGTTATCTCTATACAGTTAGATGGTAAAACAAAGTTTTATCAATACTTTTAGAGAACTATATCTTAACAAAAAAGAATTTTTATGAAGCAATAGAAAGAATAGTAAAAGAATAGACCAAATTTGAATCTCAGAAAATCTAATTTTTGGATTTAAAGATATTCTAATTGAAGAAATGAAATTAGAAATAAATAGTAATTATAAGTTAGTAGTAGCAGAAATACTATTAGACTATTTAAATTTTAAAAATAGCTTAGTACAGATCAAAATAAAAGGTATAAAGAAAACAATTTTCTTGTATAACAAAACAACAGAGAAAAATTATAACAATTACTAAAATAAATTACTGTATCTGCTCAAAAGAAAATTAAATAAGAAGCTATAATCAAAAGATCAACTTGAAGAAAGTAGTGAAAAATCTATAGATAATATAAATTTGGATAAAAAATAGAATATTATAAGTAATAGTATTAAACAAGTAGCAGGTCTGGCGATCTTAGTGTAGTAGTTAGGTTGCCGGACTGCCATGCAAGAGGTCTAGGGTTCAAATTCTACTGTATATAGAATTGAATAATTACCTAGACATCTGTATTCAACTTACAGAAAACTCTGCTTGTTTCTGGGGTTGTAACCCTGTAAATCACATTGCACTAATGCCAATTGGGGTATTGGAAGTATGACGGAGCGTTCGGTAAGGCATAATGTTATATGAATAAATCTTGATAGGAAAAATATCAGTGTGACGGTAGTTAATCACAGGATGATATGTGACACTGATCTATGGGCAGAGGACCTACATAGTAGAAATCCCGAGTTAGGTAAAGTAGTATGGATTTCGATGATCATACTAGTTTATATCTGATCTGGTAAAAGAAATTTGTAGCTGAAAGATGCAACTGAGTGGATGCGAGTAAGTCCATCACACAAGGTCATACAGTAACACTAACCTGGCTTGGCAGCTAACTGAATTGGGAGGAT